GAGATCAGAGCAGGAAGGCGAGGGGCAGAGATAACTGTTCTGGATTGTGAATCAAAGAAATGATGTTTTAAGCGAGTACACTGAGATCCTGCAGACTTCAGTCAAGAGTTACATTGGAAAATAATAGTCCAATAAAGCTGGTGTTATTTGTCCTAACTCGAAGGAAGCTTGTAAAGTAAATCTTACAAGTAAAACATTAGGAAACAGCCACAAATGCTGTGCTCTACAAAAGGTTTGGTTTGGGCAGTGCATTCAAGTCCACAGCCAAGGAGCACCAGGATAAGGAAGTTCCAGTCATAACAATCCTACAGGCCCAATTCCTCCCCTTCTTACATTTAATTTGGCAGCATTTCCTCTCTCAGCTGATGGCTCATTGCCTTGAAGCAAGGCAACATTATCCCAAACACCCTTATTGCAGAGGAACCATGAGCTGGGCAGCAAGGGAAAGGTGCAAACTGCACTTCCAGAGCATCCGCTTTCCCACAGCATCCCAAAACTCACTGCCACAGCTCTAATCCATCCACAGGTAAAATTAGCTGCAAGTACATTTAATGCTGTACAGACAACTCCTGCCTCAAGATCAAAGTTACTTTAAAAAGCCTCTCTGGATTCTTTTAAGTGAAGAGGTTGCATTACCTTGGTGTTAACTCTGGGATTGTTTGACTCAGACCCACTTGCAGAGATGCACAGGATACAAGGACATGGATTTTCTGATCTCCAAGCTCCAGCTTACTTCTGAGTAATATACCTGCCTGGGAATGCCAGATAATAAGTACCACAGGCAGCTCTAAACTATAAGCAGTTAATATTAAACACATACAATTCATCTGCAGTTGTAAATACAAGAGAAAGCTGCAGCCTTATAATTTAAATAAAGTTCAGTTTTAGGTTATGTCCATTTTCAGCCCCAAGCAGCACACCCCAGTCTGCTCTGAAAGGTCAAAGCCTGCCAGCCCAACAGATCCTGCTGCTTCCTGAAAGCACCGTGTGTGCTCAGGTTATTCCAAACAAGGCTTGAAATGAAAACTCAGACTTTGAAACATTCCATTTCCTCCTTTTCAACAAAGTCTGTTTATTAGCAGAGGGGGGTATTGTTACAATATTTATATCTCTTGAAGTGACCCCAGCAGCTAAACTGACAGTAGCACAAAACAACACCATGACCATCATAAGCATAAAAGCCTGACCAAGCATTTCTGCTCTTCCAGCCAAGGAACCAATGGGATCACACCTATGTCAGCAATCCCAGCGCCCAATTAACACTCACAAGCAGAGTTGGTCCAAAGCCTTGCTGTTATCAACTCCTGTTTAAACTCCTTAAATACCCTTAAAATGACCTAAATTAGCTCACTCATTTCTGACTTATCAGCAATCCTGAGCATTCCGTCAGCTCCCTGACCAAGGACACTGAAGCATCAGTTGTAGATCATTCAGCCTCTGTATTTGTTCTTAAGCCCAGCAAAACGCAGTGAATAGATGACAAACCCAGCTGCTTTACATGATGCTACACTGTACCTTCAGCAGCACAACGAGCATTGACATAAGGGCTGTGGTTCCCATTCCTCATGCTTTCATAACCTGGCTATTTTCAGGGCTCTGTTATCTGTGTTTCCACAGAAAGCTCAGACCCAGCTGCAGAAATTCATTAAAGAGCTGTGAATGCAGATTTGTTCGCTGTTTGCTGCCTCCCTCCACTGCTCCTTGGGAGGCTGGTTCTGTGAAAGAACAAAAGAACAGAGCAAGATGGAAAAGGAGAAGGGAGGAGGGATGGGGAGCAGATTAAGCAGGCTGGTATAACTGTTGTAATTGAAGATCCTGCAAACAGAAGATTCCTCAGGAAAACAAGAGTGGAAGGTTCAAGTCATTAAGCTGATAATGCTCAGACAGCAGCACAATGAAACCAAGCATCCAGGTTGAACGCTGCCTCCGGGGGTGTGCACTGCTGAAGTTTCCATCCTCAAGGACCTGACAGCTACTGAGCAACGAGAAACTCCATGTGCCATCAGCTGAACAGGTCACTTACTCCTTGGGCTGTGCTTTTTACAAGGGCCTGTACAAGGGAATGGCTTTAACCTGCCAGAGGGCAGATTGAGATGAGCTCTTAGGCAGAAGCTCTTCCCTGTGAGGGGGCTGAGGCGCTGGCACAGGGTGCCCAGAGAAGCTGTGGCTGCCCCATCCCTGGCAGTGTTCAAGGCCAGGTTGGACACAGGGGCTTGGAGCAAGCTGCTCTAGCAGAAGGTGCCCCTGCCCGTGGCAGGGGTTGGAACTGGATAAGCTTTAAGGTCCTTTCATCCCAAACCAGTCTGGGATTCTATGATACTCTAGCTCCTGCCTGTTACTAATAAATCACCACCCACTCTAGCAGAGGTGCCATCACAACCTGCCCTGAGCTACGCTGACTGGTCCCATCAACTTCTCATGCCTTCTCAAGTCAAACAAGGTCAAGTTTTGTGATAAATCTCTGCCCAATAAAACCATCAGGTTTAGATAAAACAATCCCCATGGATTGGGGCAAACCCCAGCAAGATGAGATCCCCAGGAAGTGGTCATTGAACATGGATGGAGGGAATCTGGAGACCCTTCAGCCTGTGCTCCTGGCATGTTTAAGGGAGGCTCCACAGAGGGCAACTCAAAGCAGCTTTGGCAGTGACTAAAAAAGGACTCTGAGGAGAGCAGCTGCCTTAAGTGGGCATCAAAGATTAGATGTCCAGAGTCACAGCACAGATCCCACCTCCCCCTTCCCTCTGCTGACTTCATACGCTTGTATATTTACATGATCCCACAGTTCACCCATACAGAGCAGCAACATTAGCAAAACAACACCCAGATTCCCATGTCCTAGGAAAAGTAAACCCATTTTGTGATGGTTTGCTGATTTCTGAATCCTATTTTGCAACCACAGAAGGGGAAGCAGCATAACCATCACTGTCCTGCAGGAAAGTTGGTCCCTGAATCACTCCTCATGTATTTGCAGCAAGAGATGCTGCTGTTCCATGGGGATGAAGGGATGCTCTGTCAGAGCAAACCACGGAGCCATCCAGCAACAAAACAAATGGTGATTACAGAGGGATGGTCCATCTCACCCGCTCCAGTGTGACTGGGAAGAGATACGTTGGATCCAACACATCCCCACAGGCAGCATAAAACCATCCTCTTCGCCAAAGACGTGTATCACTATGTAAAGATGTGGACCTTCTGAAACCTGAGGGTTTCAGCTGCATTCTCCACTCACTGTTTTCCTCTTTAGAAGTACAAAAATAGATGAACTCTCACTCCAAATCACCCTTGTAAGTAGTACACAGGATGATTAATGCGATACAATACAGCCTTTCAGCCACCTCTCCCAAGCTGAAAAATCATGGTCTGTTTTGTCACTACGCAGACAGAAGCTCTTTCATTCCCTCAATTACCTCCTTGTGCTTCTCTCTACCTTCTAGTTCTGACTTATCATTCTTTTGAGGTGGGTTGATTACAACAGCTGCAGCAGAACACAACACCTAAAATCAGGTGCCAAGGGAAGAGGCAGGAAGGACATCACATGAGAAGATCCCAGGAATATTTTCTTACTATGCTATTGACTTGGTGTGGGAAGGGAAAGGACTGAATCACTTACATGAACTCCATCAGTCCAGAACTCAGCACGCACAGGCACACAGAGAGTCACACCCGCAGAGGTAACTGTGCTTGTAAAACTCGTAATGTAAAACTTGCCCTCAAGAGCTTTAACTACGGTAATAAAGCAATGAAATGAAATCACAGAGCACTGAGTGCTCTGGCTTTTGTGGAGCGCTGGGAAGGAGCTGTGCCACAGCAACACCTTCGCTTTGGGCTTTCCTGCTCAACAAGCAGTACCCAACTGCTTGTACTTGGTACCCATAGTGCAAACTATGAGTACCAAGCATCCATCTAGCAGCCCCAGCTTCAGTTTCTCCATGAAGTAAGGAAAGAAAGGTCTCTTCCATTACAAGAAAAGCAATGGGTAGTAAATGGCAGTTCAAGGAGGAAAAAAATGCAGGAGGGACAACAGGCAAAAGGATCTCCACACTGTACCAATGAACAGCTACTTCTCTTTAAGTTCACTTTAAGCTCCCAGTAGTTTCCTGGGGGTCCAGGACACTCCAGGGATGTACATTGAAAGGGATCACCACCAACTGCATTAGCAAAGCTCCCCAGGTTTAAAGCACAGACATCTCTGTTTCAGCTCACTAACAAAGCTCTGAAGCAGCTCTGAAGACCATGGAGACTTAAAGCCTTTGATACTGCTTTGCCTATCTGCAGGCTCAGAGGGCCAGCTTACTTTACAAAGCTATTTATGCCAGAAACAGCCTGAAAGGAGTTCCTTCAGAGCTCAAATCCCCAGGATCTGAGCAGGAGCCCGCCTTCCAACTGCCTGGAAAACCAACACTCTCAGGCTGAGAGAAGCCCCTTGGAAACACACCGGTAATCCTGCACTAAAGGCCAGAACCTCCTCCCCTGAGGCTGACTCAAAGTTCCCAGCGCCCGGACATTTATTAATACACAGAGTTACTGCATAGAGAAGCAGCAGAGATGAGGACATCGGCAGCGGACACCCGAAGAGTCCTACCTAGCAATGACTCCATCGGCTTCAGCTGGAAGCAGAAAGATGCAGAACCAGAGCGAAGGGACAAGCAGGAGGCAGCGCTCGGGATACCGCAGGGCTGCAGCCAGAGACCCAGCGAGCGACTCCGCACCCCCCCTCCCCGAGCAGCCAGCCCCGGGGGCCGCTCACCCCCGGTACGGGGCAGGTGCCCCCCGGCGATAACGGGGCCAGCACCGCCTCCCAGGGCCGCCCGCTTCCCATGCTCCGCTCCTCACCCCCCGGAGCCGCCGGCCGAGGGCCCTGGGAAACTCCAGCTCTTCCCATGGCCCTGGGTGGGGGGGGTCCCGCCGCTTCCCACGCCCCACGGGTCAGTGCGGCCGCTCCCGGGGGGGGGGGGTTTGCTGCGGGCCGGCCCGGCGTGCCCCTGCCCCTCGCTCACCTCTGTCGCTGCGCCTCCAGCACGAAGCCTCCGCCCGCCGCGCTCTGCGTAGGGCTCAGCAGCCCCGTTGCGCCCGGCTTAGCGGCCGCCAGCATCCCCGGCGGGGCGGGCGGCACCGGCGGGCACAGCGGGCCGCCCAGCAGCAGCGGCGGCAGGAAGATGCCCCCGCGGGAGGGGTCCGCCTCCCCTTTGGCTCCAGCGGCGGCCAGCAGCGGGGGGACCCCGGGCAGCAGCAGCGCGGGCGGCGGCGGGCAGGGGGGCGCCGGGGACTGCAGGCGCGGGGGGGCCCCGGCCGGTTCCGCCGCCGCCGCCGCCGCTGCCTCCTCCCCTTCGGCCGAGCCGGCGGGCGGCGGCGGCTGCTCGGAGGGCGGGCAGGGCGGGCGGCCGTCCAGGGAGATGTTGTTGAGGAAGAAGAGCGCGGCCTGGCGCCGGCGGGAGTCGCCCCGCGGCCGCGGCTGCTGTCGGGGCGGGCGGGCGGGCGCGGAGCCGCACGCCGCGGCGGAGGCCATCCTCCGAATGAGCCGCGGCCGCCGGGCGGGGCGCCTGCCGGCGCAGCGCGGCAGCCAGCTCGCACGCTCATTGGCTGCGGCGCGACCGAATGTAAATGAAACCGGCAGCCGCTCGGCTCTCATTGGCTCCGGGGCCCCCCCCCATCATCGGCCGGTAGGGTTCCACCGGGTCCTAGCGCCGGAGCGCAACGGCTCCTGCTGCCCAGGCGGCTCGGCGGTGCCCCCGCCAGGCGGGCAGGGGCTGTCCCAGTGGAGGAGGTGGCTGCGGCCCCGAGCATCGCCTCGCCGGGGCTGTTAGGCAGGCAGCGCCTTCATCCCTCGGGTGCTCCCCCCACCACAGCCACAAGCCCACTGCATCCGCTCCCAAGCACCCACCGCGTCCCTTTGGATGACTTATTTAAAGCTTCTGCTCCCCCCCATCCCCTCACTAACCCCCCAGTGACTCTGGTTCCCAAGGTCTCCTAGCCTTCCCGCAGGCAGGGAGGATGCATCTGCTAAAGCCATCAGCTGCCGGCTGTACACATCAGACCTATAAAAAGCAGCTCAGCCTGGGACCCAGCTCACCAGCTTGCAGAGCTGGGGTAGATCCCATCCCACCATCCCTGAGACCCTGGGTCCCCATGCACAGCCCTGAGACTCACCAGCAGCCCCAAAATCCGTGCAGAGAATGAATCCCAATGCCTCTGAAGCTAAGCTGAGGCAGTGCTGATCACAGGACGTATATGGGCAAAGCAGACCCGGATCTGGGAGAGCATAAACTTGGTATTTATCTCCATAGAGTGACATCAAGGCATTTCTGCACAGCATGCTGCTTCCCGGACTGCTCTGTTTATACTGCATGGAATAAACATACCCCGAGGAGCTTGACCCCATGTGTGCCACATCCCGAGATGATGCTCTGACCGCTTGCCAAGCAGGAAAGCTCTGCCCTTTCCGCCATCCTCAGGGGACTTTGATGTGCATCAACACTGCCCATGCCACTGGGCCTGGTGGAGGGACTATGGGAGCTTTGCTGGGTGCTCTGAGCAACGCGGTTGGGTGCTGGTGGCCTCCCAAACTGAAAAGGTCCTTGCAGACCCCTGTGCTTCCCACCTCACATGCGCCAAAGCAGCTTGTGCTCCCAAGCAGGACTTTGCCCATAGACATGGACATATCAGACCAGACTTGCCATTAACGAAGCACTACCGAGATGTCCAGTTAAGCAGCTATTTATGTGTCTGCAACATAGGACCCTTAGAATGGTAAATGCTCTTGCCAAATACATTTAAAGAAGCTACGTGACAACTCTTGATACACTAGCAATCAAAATGATGTCTGATGATAGGACCTGAAATATGGGCACTGAATAAAAGATAGATTTATGAAACACCTACAGGCTCTATGTCTTTTCATATGGCTGTTTCGTAAGGTCCTTTTTTGGTATACTGCTGTAAGTGGGGCATCAACACTTGTCTTGGAGCATTAATAGTAAATAATAATAATAATAGGATAGGAAACATAAAGCAAAGTTTTCCTGTAGGCTTCCATTAAAAAGTCTACATGGAAGTAGAAACTCTACCCTTAAAACCCCAAGAACATCTCCAGAATTGTATACTATTCAATATAGGTCACATTTGGAGCCTAAATCATTTGGCAGCATCATCTCATATCACAGCTGTGGAAAATATAATTGGGATAAAATGGAATTCAAATCCTTCCCGCTGGCAAGCTCATCAACTAAGCCAATGGATAAATGGGCATGGAATCCATGAGAGCAAACAGCTCCCTAGAACCCAAGATTGGCTTTTTAAAGAGAAATAGGGTGTTTTTTCCCAATCTTTCCTTGTAGAAACAGCTGTAGGATGTCATCGTCCCACTGAGTCAGCGCAGGATGGAGCAGGAAGGAGCCAGCCTCCGTAGCTTAGTGGGTTGTGAACTTCAAAGCTGAATTTAGCGCGTCGAATGTTGCTGCTGGTAGTGCTGGGGAGCTTTCATCTGCGTCTGACAAGCCAAGTAGCTCACAGTGTGTGAGTTCCGTGGGCATCTTGCTGCGTTGCAGGGAATCTGCTGCTCAAACAGATGGGTGGCAGAGCAGCATCGTTTCCACAATTGGCAGAGAGTGGGTACAACCCCGAGCAACTTCTCTCCTTGTTTCCTGCAGTGAGGGAATCCCCACAGCAGGGAGACGGAGGGAACCCGAGCTCCATTTCAGCTGGGGGTGCTCCTAATACATTCCCAGGGATGCTGTTTTGGAGGAAGGACGGACTCATCACAGTGCTGCTGCATGGCAGCGGAAGCACGCTCCACTCTTAACAACTGCAAAGCCCCAGGACAAACTGGAAGGCTGGTAGCTTTACATTCACAACAGCATCATTACACAAATGTAAGTCTTTACTTTGAATCTCCAGCACTCAATTCAGGCTCATTTTGTTCCTGGACCTCCTGCTTTACCTTAAAGGAAGCCTTGGGCTGTGTGAGTACAGTCTGAGCAGTCATGGGTTGCTGGAATAAGGAGCTGGTGAGGAGAAGGCCAAGCCTGCAAATCCTCTCTCCAATAGTATATGGGCAGCAGAGTCACCAAAGTCACCAGTTTTCTCTGCATGCAAGAGCTGCAGGATTTCGTCTAAGCATCTGATATGAAACAGTGTTTTGAAGTACATACGTGGGCTGGGTGTTAGGTTTTTTTTGAAACCATGGCCCAAAATCGAGCAAAAATAAACAGGTCATAAATGTATTTAGGCTGGGAAGCAGAAGAACAGCCTTCCAGCTGGAGGAGCTGCTAGGATTAAGATAAGGCTCCAGAAATTTCTGAGCACATTCTTCCCAACATAAGTAGGGTGCAGATGGGGATCCAAGAGGCCTAACAGGGGACAAGGGTGGTCTCTGGAAGCCTGGGAAGATCATGGAATCCCAGACTAGTTTGTGCTGAAAGGGACCTTAAAGCTCACCCAGTCCCAGTGAAGAGCTTCTGCCTAAGAGCTCATCTCAACCTCTCCTCTGTCAGTTTAAAGCCATTCCCCTTGTCCTGTCCCTACAGACCCTTGTCCAAAGCCCCTCTCCAGAGGGACCCTTTAGGCACTGGGAGCTGCTCTAAGGTCTCCCTGAGCCTAAAGTAACTCCTACGATAAACTTTGCTTGAGGTAAAGAAGCAAAGGAGCTCCCCACATCTCCCCCTTCCAGAAACAACCACTCGGTTCTGGGATTGCCAAACCTATCCAGGACTTCAGAGCCTCTTTGCCAAGTGCAAAGGATCACCTTGTGCTCTGTTCTGAACCCCTGAGCTGTCCCTGTCCCCTTTTACACCCATGCAGGGTGCATCTGACCTTGGGAAGGACAAGGGGTAACGGGTTCAAACTCAAACAGGGGAAGTTTAGATTGGATATAAGGAAGAAGTTCTTTCCTGTGAGGGTGATGAGGCACTGGAATGGGTTGCCCAGGGAAGCTGTGAATGCTCCATCCCTGGCAGTGTTCAAGGCCAGGTTGGACAGAGCCTTGGGTGAGACGGTTTAGTGTGAGGTGTCCCTGCCCATGGCAGGGGCGTTGGAACTGGATGATCTTAAGGTCCTTTCCAACCCGAACTATTCTATGGTTCTATGATTCTAGACCAAAAGCCCAGCTTAAATCCTAAAACAGGACTTAAGCAAGACTTCAGTAATGCCTGGAATGAGTTTTCCTGCTGCGAACCGAGGAGTGAAGCTGTGTTGCCAGAGCCAGCACTATAAATGGGCATTACTTACTGATCAGATCTGGCTAAAAGCATTTCACTGCAGAGAAGGTGGTGCTCAGCCTCATGAAAGGAGCATGAATGGAGTCACCTTCAAAACCATCCATTGCCATGGGGGCAATACCACCGCAGGAGTTTGTAAAGGGGAAGGGACTGATGTGCGTGACTCTGTTTTGGGTGCTTTTGGTTCTTGCATTGCAGCCAGCTGCCTCCCCAGCACAGTTCCCTTTTGCTCATTGGACTTCCTACTTCCCTGCATTACGCACACAACAGAGGAACCTTTGTGTGGTGGCAATCTGTTTTTTTCCAAGAGGGAGGTTTATATTCACTGCACAAACTTATTGCTTATGAAATGTTACAAACCAGGGCTAGAGAGCAGCCGAAAATGTCAGTTTGCCGCTGAGTTTGGTGGGAGGCTGATGGGGGGAGGACCAGGGGGTCTGCTGAGAGCAGCAATCTCAGCTGTGCGAATGATTCAGCACATAGATGCTTCAGGATCAGGAGGTAAAAGAGTTGGGGAGGGCTTGTTACTGGAACTCTTTTGCATGACGGGCACTAAAGGAACCAATCCTTGCTGGTTTGGATGGAGTGAAGCAAACAGGGATGCTTACACCCTTGCTCTGTCTGGTCTGCAGTTTCCAGCCCAGCCCCTGACCCGAGCTATGCTCCCAACGCATTCCTCTGGGAATCTGGTTCACCAGCCCCTATGTCCTACCTACATCCCATCACCAGTGACATCAGAGCTCTGATTTGTCAGAACAACACAAATATGAGCTACCAGCCTCCCCAAGGGCCTGACCTGCTCCTGGGACAGCTTCTCCTCTGCCTTACTACTCTGTGCATTGTAACCCATGCACTCCAAGGGTAATTTCAGTGGAGATCATTGTGTAAAACGGCCTTGTGCTGAGCAGAAATGTGGCAACAGAAAGGATCTGACTCTGCAGGAAGCACAGATTGCTGGTGCTGGTCACAGATATCCCTTGGGATCGTGAGCCAACCTCCAGTGACGTTACGAAGAGGCTGTGTGCTCCCAGGGAAGGCAGGATCAGCCCGTTGGACTCATCCTGACCTCCAGCAGAACCAAACCTCCATACGGAAAACCTCTGCAAAGCTCCAGGCTTCCTTGCATGTCTCCAATTCCTTCCTTACAGCAGAATAGTTCAAGTCTGAGGCTGCCTTGCCTATCACCCCATCGATACATACATCTCTCTGACAAGGCTGACTTCAACAAAAGCCTGACAGGCATAATTATGAGAATTAATGGCCTTCAGCAATTACCCTTGTTCCTGCAGCTCGGTGGTGGGAAACAGCAAGCCAGGAGCAGAGTTTCCAGGCCTGGAACATGGTTTAGTGTGAGGTGTCCCTGCTCATGGCAGGGGGGTTGGAACTGGATGATCTTAAGGTCCTTTCCAACCCTAACTGTTCTATGATTCTATGATCAAGTGCAGGGTCTGTGTTTTATTCCCCCTTCAGCAACGAGCACTTTGCTCAGAGCTGACAGAGCTATTGTTTGGTTTTCTAGCCATAGGATTGCCCTAACTATGAAATACGTGTCCCTGCCAGGCCTCAAACACATCCTGCATGGAGATACAGGGCATCAGCTGAAAATCCCTGCTGGGAAAAGGCAAAAGAAGTCCGATAAATGAAGGTGGATTCTGTGGTGGCCTCGCACAACGGGAGGGGAAAAGAATCTCTAAGAAAAGAAGTTGGGTCACTCATTGTTTCTGGCAGCACTTGAGCACATTTTGCTTATCCAGGGATCGTCATAGGGAGGGGATGATTTTAAGGTCGCATTAAAGTTCCCTCCCTCCTCAGTTCTCCCGATGCCAGGCTGCCTCCCTGCAGCCTGAGGGCCCTCCTAATGGAGCTGCATTTCAGCTTCTTATTTCATGTCCTTTCTTCCCTTTATGGGCTATTTTTAACAGACGTTTACCCAGCTCACCGCATGTGGTCAGTGCTGCTCTGGGTACTGCTGCCCCCGGCAAGTCAGCCCGAGCAAGGGACAGACACAGCGCTGGCTGCCCAGGAGGGGAAAGCATCACTTGTGGCCCTGATCCACCTTCCATGGCCGTGATCTGATGAACACTAAGCTGGGATAAAGCAGCCCTGCAACCTGCACCCCCTGTGCCAGCTCCTGTGCCTGCATCACAGCAACAGGATGCAGAATGAGGTGGAGGTTACCCGGGCTGAGCTGGTCCCCCAGGCACTGTGTAGGCTGCGGTCTGCCCATGGTGGTTGTGCCATGAGAGCTCCTTCCTGCCCTGCCTGGAGCCTGTGGGCATGGGGCATCACCAGTGCAGCTGTGATGGGGATGGAGGTGCTGCTTTCTCCATTAGACCAGTTACAACTTCCTAACCTGGATGTCTCAAGCATTCCTGAGCACAGATCTCCAGGGCATTGACTCCCAGATGATGCATGGCCAGGAGGTAATTTATGAGCTGGGTGGGACTTTGCTCCTGGTGCAAAGCATGACTAAAGGGCTGAGCCCAGAAGAGCTTCTTTGGACTCTATTGCATGGGGTTTTCAGGGGGAAGCAGTTGTGAGATACAAACCCCTTCTGCAACTCCAACCTGTAACCCATTGCTCTGTTGTCAAGGTCTGTCCTGGTGTTAAGCAGAAGCTGCTGAAAGATGGATTGAATGTGAGGAGGAGAAACCCATCAGCCAGGGGCAGGATCTCTGGCAAAGGGATCAGAGAAGGCCGAAGTGTGTTAACACACATGTTCTGCACAGGGCTCTGCAGGGGTTATTTGGAGGCTGTGCTTCCACAGCCAGCCTGCTGCTAATGAAGGTACCCCATGGCTTCCAATGAGCTCTGCAGAACTGCAGAGATGGCAGGAAGATGGGAGCTGCCTAAGGAATGCTCCAGCTTTTCCCAGTAGGAAGAACCCAGCCCAGCTCCTGGTGCAGTGATGTGTGTAGGGATGCTCACTGCAGCCCTTCTCCTCCCATCCCGTCACTCACTGCTGCAGGAAAACTTGCCATGCTTAATGCATCAGAAAAGCAGTGTTTAAGAACAGTTTATCCACATGAAAACCAGCTCCCAGCAATGCTGCCAAGGCCGGGGGGAGCTGCTGAGCTGGTGCTCCTCATTTAACAAAGAAAACCATGGGCTTTCTCCAGGCCAAACAAGATCCACACATGGATGGACCTGGGTAGGGATTTAATCAATGCAGGTTTGTGCATGGGGTCCCCCTTGGTCACCACCCTTTGTCCAGCCACTGGCACCAGTACATGGGATCTGGGGGTCCATTCTCCTTCCATGAAATCCCAGGGGAGAGCATGGTCCTGACCACAGTGAGTGCTGCAAGGAGGGCATCTCCTTCCCAGCACAGGTCTGCTCCAGTACAGGGCTGGGAGTGGGGGGGCACTGAACGTGCTGCTCCATCAGCAGGGACCTGGCTGCTCCAGGCATCACCCGCATGGCTCTTCCTTGCCTGGCTTCTCCTGGGGCACCAAGTGAGGATTCCCAGGGTGTTCTACTCAATGAGTCCTTATGGGTTCCCCACTGCCTGGCCCAGCAGGGCAGGAGGAGCTGCTCTCCCAGCACGGGTGGGATGCTGAGGTCCCCAAGCCCTCTCCTTCGCTCTGCAGTGTCTGTGTCACTTCTCATCCTGCCCTGCTGTTAGGTCTCCTCGGAGGCAGCGTTGTGGGAAGCGGAGCTGTTCTCTGATTCCTTCGTGCTCCCCGCTGAGCACTGCTCCACTTTGACTTTCTTTCTTCCCCTCATTGGCTTCTTAGCTCCTGTAAAAGCAAGACGACTGCAGGAGTTACCCACAGAGAGATGGATTTACATGTATGAGCACAGCGTGGCCTCAGCCCAGAATAGGGGCTGCACAGGGGGAAGCAAAGCTCAGCAAAGGAAAGGTGAAGAGAAACCCCTCTCACACGTGAGATGCCTGTGGGAGGCTGCTGTGAGCCTGGATGCAGAAACAACATGGGAAGACGAAATAGGAGGAGAACTGACCTGGTGCAAGGGGGTATCTGAGAGGGTACCTGGACCAGTGGGATGCGTTCCTTGGATTTCTCCCCCTCCCAGTGTGGTACACGGCAGATACCACATGCTGAGAGAGGGATTATGCCTCTCCGTGACCCCATTCCTGCCACAACTGCATCCAGCCCTCACTCGGGACATCCTTGGACACAGTCCCAGGAGTCGGATGGTGCTGTCCTGGGGAGCAAAGGACAGCTTCCTCCCCCGTGCTCCCAGTGGCTGGCTTTGTAGAGCACATCCTCTTCTCACCCAGCTCTCACCCAGCGGTGATGCTCCCTGAGCGAACAGGCACCTCTAAAGGCCAGGCACAGAGCAAGGGGCAGCACTTGCCTGTTAAACAAGCTCCCTTCGTGCTTACACAACAGCCCCCTCTGCGTTTATAACTGGGTCAACACTTCCCTGTCTTTACCCATGGTCCAGAGGGGGTTATGGTGGGGTGTTTCTGACAGGGCACTTCTCAAACCTCAGCATTCACACTGTCTTATCCTTGCCCTTACCAGGAGCAGCGCTGTGCTTATTCACCTGTAGGAAACACGGGTACGACGCATTCCTCTGTCAGCAGGGAAACCTCCCTGGCTGCACTGGAAGATCAACAGCGCTGGCAGAAACCTTTCTCTGAATGTCAATATCTCACCCCTGGGAATGTGGCCTTCTCCAGTCACCACCTCCCTGACCAGCTGAGCAAACACGATGGACTTAGCCCTGTTAGCTTAGGTGCTCAGGAGGGCTCTCCTGGCCTCCCTGACCAGGTTTCCTTGGCTAACCATTAGCAGGGGCTCCACTGGATGGAGACACAACCGTGGCCAAAGCACATCACTACTGCAGGGAAGGTGAGGGCATTGTAGCCCTGAGCTGCTGCCATAAGGAATTCCTCCTGCCCACCTTTTGTCCAGGGATCATGTCCTCTTTTTCTCTTCTTCTGCAGAGTGTAAGCTTTGTCTTTGGTGCAAAAATACTTCCCATCAGCCTGGGCTTCTTGTGGGACATCATCTTCATATGGGGCAGCCACCTACATCAATGAGAAGAGCAGTCAGCCTATAAACTACCCTGGCTTTCATAGGGAGCTGATGGCCTGGCTGCACTGCTGGGGACATTTATGACCATTGCTATGGAGTGGTGACGAATGCTGTTGCTCATAAACCCTCTTGGCTAGCTGGAAAGGGTGGTATCTCTATCCCTCAGCAACAAGTTGGGTAACTGTGTGGGAATGGGGCTTGGCATCTTGTGTAGGAAGAGCCATCACCCTCTGGAGTGAGCTCGGGCAGGGATAACCGGTCTTACACCTCTCGGACCCAACACCCTAAGCTAATGGCTGAGGAGGGCAAACAAACCTCGCTGTCCGTCGTGTCTGGCTCATCAGATTCCTGCTTCCCAGACTCAGCATCGTTCTCATCTAAGGAAACACAACAGGAAGGGGGTTTGGCTGGCAGGAGGCCCCACAAGCTCAGGAGCAGATGCAGACCCATTGAGGCAGCAGATTCAGCAATAAACTGTGTTGCAAAGCAGAGGCACCACCAGCTGCATGGCTTGAAATGAATATTTACGGCAGATCCAACAGGACTCTGCTGGGGAAACAGCTCCCGATAAAGCCACATCCATAGGACTTTGCTACCTTAAGGCCATAAGTGCTGCCCCAAAGCCCATGGCTATGTGCAGGTTGGGAAGCTGAAGGGTATTGAGAACCCCAGACTGCACCTTCCCACTGGAGACCAGGGTGAGGAGAAGCGTGTCTGGGTAAAGAGTCCGAATGGACAGCCCAGTGCTGGCCTGCGGCTGTCAGCAGGGGTGGTGTGCAGAGGAGCAGAGGGAGGAAAGGCAGGGGAGCTGCTCCCCTGCCCAGCACAAGGGCTTCGCCACGGGCTGCTCAACCCTTGCTGCCGGCATCACCCTGCCTGCACCCGCAGCACCACGACTGCACTGGCCATGGAGGGCAGGAAGGGCTGGGGACGGAGCTGGGCCCCCTTCCCAGGGGCATTCCAGGGCCTCAGGACTTGTTGCTGCTTACACCCAGGTCTAGCTGTGGTGGGATTGTTGGGAGAGCATCCTCCCTTGCTGCCCCTGCCCAGGCGGGAGGGCCGACCCTGCTGCTTTCAAGCCCCCATAGAGCCCCTTCTCCCATCCTCCCTTTATCCTTGGGAGGGTTAAGGTTCTCTAGAAAGTGCAGAAGTGTTTGTGTATGGTTTCCTGGGCATTGTGTCAACCTTAAGGTGAGAACTGAAGAAAGCCCTGTATTCCCACACCCAGAATGTAATCAGCTGAGATTCT